TGGGGTCAAGTGATCACAAGAATGTGCCTACCCCTGATTACAATCATTTCCACCTTCCTTTTGTTCTCTTACTTTGCCCTGATCTGTCTTCCATTCACCCCTCCACAGTTCTGCAAGGCAAGAAGCTGTCATTACCAGCATAAATCTCTGACCATCGCAGCATGTCTTCGCCAAGCAGGCTGATTTGGCTCAACTGTAGTAGACTGTCGTCTGAGATCTTCACATGGTCACTTTATATTCAAACGTAAATTCTGGATTATCTTTTTGTCAACTTCTCTTTCATTTTGTAGTTGTAAAGTCACTTGCCAGCTTATTCTCTGTCATGTCTGTTGTGTTTAATTGTGAGTTAAGCATATGGTGCCTTTATATGTAAATGGTTTTAACAGATTTTGGTGTTTGTCGGCGGAAAAAATGGTTTGTCTGAACACTAAAGAAGTGACACCCCACAACAAAGATATTTAAGACCCCTGTAAGCTATGCACCTCCAGCAGAAGAACCCCCTCATTGGTTGAAAAGAGCCATGTTAGTCGGGAATCTTATTTTGTTGGTAGTGATGCGACCGTAAAGCGTGCATTACCTAGTCGTTCATGAACTAGCGAAGTTCAGTTCTGACCAAAGAAGCCTCCGTTGCTTCAAGAAAATTGTATGCTCTCTTGGTCCAGCTCGTCTCATAGGCCTTCAATGTAAAATTCACAATGCCATTGTTACAAAATTAATTTACTCCAAGAAAACATGACAAACTTAATTTACTCCTATACAATGTACAAGTAGTGCTTTGTGTTTCTGGACTACAGGAGTATGACTGAAGAATGAAATCTTCAGATGTCACACAAGGATAATTTCTAACCAATAAAGCTGGTAAAATGAGACTTATTTAGGGAAAGTCTTGCCATCTGAAACTCTGACGACTGTATTACTTTGTATTTATTTGTACAGAAAATGGCTACGAGAATGAGATCAGATAAATACAAGCAGTAATACTAATTTCTGCCAATCATCCAATTTAATTCATTTCCAACGAGTTTGGGCAAGAGTTGATACGCACTGAATTTTGATTGACCCAAAAACCAGTGTTATGATTATTTCCACTAAAATAACAAATTTCACTAACCAGCTTTGCCTGCAAAATGTATTTAAATGTGCTTTGAGGCTATGGTAAGAAGTTTAAATAACTTGGATGCTGGCAAAATGTTGCATGGCAAGACTTGAATTTTAAAGGGAGTTCAGTGAGAATGTACAAGAATATCAAGGGGTACAGAATAATGGGCTTAAGTATTGTATTTTGCTTCCTGTACTGTACATACTTTGAGTAGGAAACGATATTCTTTTTCATAGTTACAGAGTCCATGTGCTCAAAAAAGGCAATTCTTTCCCACAAGTTTAAAATATGTCATCACATTACTTCAACTTTTAAAAGTATTGGCTATTTGTACATTTCTTTGTGAGGGATTTGTAAAGGTTGGGGTTAGATCTTTGTGCACCTGAAAGGATATTGGTTTTTCTCTTTGTTAACTGTTGAAAACTCATGACCCAGCAGGAAGAAAAAACAGAATACAAGAGATCTCGCTGGAAACTTGTCATTTTATTACATTATTGATTAGAAAAGAATTCTCTTTACGAATGTTCTACAGATCTGTCGGAAGTAGCATGCAGTGTACACACCTGTGTTGATGTCACTTGCTCCAAATGTTGCGGAAAGTTTTCTGATTATTGTAATTTTTTGTTTGTGCTTTTATAGCCTTGATGTATGCATTACAGTCCAGCCATCAGTGTCTAGGCACTGTATTTACAGTAGTTGTCTTTATTTTTACTTGCAGAGTTAAAGTAGAGAATTAGTTTGAATTAAGTTTTGCTTTATCTGAGTATTGCAAGGACATTTAGTTAACAATGTACATTGACATGTACCATAAATGGGCAGTTCTTGAAGGTTATACGTGTTTTTCAATTCCACAGAACTTCTGACATTGTGACCCTACGTGATGAGCAACTACTAATAATTGGGCTTTTTTTCCTGTGCTGAAAACAAAATTGATTTGTCACAAAATAAGTTTTTACAAGTAAGCATGTACATGTAACATTGAACATGTGTAAAGGTTTGTGTGTTACTGTCACAACCTGTTATTATAGCATCATTTAAGATAGAAATTGGAAATTCAATAGCTTATTACAACAGACTTGTTAAATGAACAAAAACATGAAGTTTGACCCCAAGGTCAAGCACTGATCTTGGAAATTGACGGATTGCAAGTGACCAATGCTGTGTTGTGTTCTCTCAATACGTAAATGTAGCAGTGACAACAGGAAAGGATTACTAAAAGTTTACACTGAACATGATCAATGTACATCATGAAATTTTGTTCAGACGATAAGGTGTACCATTAAAATGGAACTTTTTATTTTGGAACCAGATCATTACATCTTTCATTATTGTAGTCTACCTTTCTATATTGAAGCCATATCTCATACTTAGTTTAATTTCCAAAGCAACAATGCTGTCACAAATGTAGGGAATAAAAGTTGAAAATGTTAAATGGCATCAAGAAAAAACCCAACAGCCAAGTAACTTTTGGGTGTTGAAACATCACTTCCCGTATTCCCACCAGTCAATAATTGTTATTTTTACCTGTGTCTTAAACTCTTTGCAATATTTTCCTCACCTGAAAGTTTTGAAATTAATCTAATGACAAATATCTCGGTCCATTGCTGCACAGCAAATTGCATGGTGCAGACAGATTCAGTGTGATTGTGTTGGGCGTACATGCCTTATGTTACTTGAAAGCAATTGCTACATGTTTTCAAAAACATTTCTGTAGGGAAAAATCTGCATGTGCCTTCATATATTCAGCACAATATGTGGCAAAGGGGGACCCCCCAATACACAAGCCACTACCCTAAGACTATTTTGCCTACTGCACCCCTACCCCCAGAAATCTGAAAGGAATTCCAAAAATTCTGTCCACACAAAAGAAGACACAGTGGGAGGGGTCCCCTTTGCCACGCCCATCGAATGTGTCTTGAAGCTCAGCAGCCCTTATGTTGGGGAACATGGGGTTATGCCAGCTGACCATAGATCGAATGTGTCTTGAAGCTCAGCAGTCCTTATGTTGGGGTTATGCCAGCTGACCATACAGTGCCAGTTGGCAGCGCCCTCTAGAGTTTCTTATCAGTTGTAGACTGAAGTACCACTGGTACCAGTAAATACTGGACATTGTACCATGTGATAGGACGTTGTGCCATGTGGTGGGACGTTGTACCATGTGTAACTTGTTGCAACATGCATTTCATCAAGTTGTACTTTTGCTACTTGCTGAAAGAACATTGAATTATGCATGTACTACACCTCTACACATGCATGGTACCTCTTTAGGACTGGTTACTTTTACAGATGAATCCAGCGAGGCTTCACTGGATACTTACCCATACCCCCCCCTTTCTAGCAACAAACCCTGTGCTGTGCTTTGTACAGTGACTCCACACATTTAATCACAATGCTTCCTAAATTATTTTGTCAAGGACCACTGCACATGCCCTGTGACATCATAACCATGGCGACTGCTGCTTAGTCACAAATTTCATGAGGTACAAATTACAGCTGCATGGGTCTGATAGACACAGAGAAGATGAATTACAAATTGCACTGTTTAAAAAAAGGGGAAATCTAGTACTAAGGTATGTGTGCATTATGATTGTATAGATTTCATGCATGAATGACCTAAGCAAAAGAAAAAAAGGGCCATGTCTGAACCGACTGGCTGGAGGCTGGAAACAAGCCATACACACCCTCATTAAGTCACTAGTTAGTGGCTGTGGCTACTTCCTGTATATGTCTCACTGTTAGCCTTAGCCAGTTGATCAGACATGGCCAGAGTACAAACTTTGTTCAGAAGTATGCATTCAGCAGTGCAAAATAAACACTACAGTTTTGTCGTTGCAAACCTCAGCTACGTTTCTCTCACGAGCAGACTTTGTGCACATCAAAATGAAAACTAGCGAAGGCTGGCAAACTCTATTTCCACAGATGTGCTTTGTGTGGGGGAGATACTCTATCATTGTTTTTTCAATGGGATTGCCCTTACACCAACATATATTCATAATACTGTGAATTAAGCTACTGAAAAAATTCAGAGGCTCACTCAGGTGGGACCCAAATGCCTGATATCTGATATATCTGATATCTTAGCAGACAGGAGGTTGTGGGTTCTGGTCCCACCCAAATGAGCTTGTATTATGAATATGCATAAGTGTACGGGCAAAATCCATAATTGAAAAACGAGAAGCCCTGTATTGCACCAACCAGTGCAACGTGCATGCGAAATGTTCTAGGTTGGCTTTCCTCAGTATGGCTCGCTGTGCCAATCCATACATTCCGTCAACTTGATCCCTATAGTTCAAGATCAAAGCTATATATCTTATTAATACAGACATATAATTAACAGGATACACCCAACAAAAGAACTGAAGTTAAAATGCCTTCAGGATTTAGCAAAGAATATGAAGATACATGCTGGCTTCACTCCCCTAACAATTCGGAGGAAATTGAATCTAAAGGGAATAAACTGTGCAAGTATACGTTGCTGTATGTCATTTGTTGGGGACTGTGAGTACATTTCTGGAACACACCTAGGACTTCAAGAATTACATCAGAGGACGACAAGTCCTCAATTTACCCAAAGTTGTTCTCACTAGCAGAATGTGTACTAATCCAACGAAAAGGGAAAAGCCCAAACAAAAGGACAAACAAAACAAGTCAACATAGGCCCTTGGTGTACATTTTAAACAAGTAACCAGGCCAATAACTCATACTGGGGTTATCGACCTGGTGGGCACTTCATAACATCCTCACAATGATTGTGTCTTCACAACTGATAACGTATGTCAGGTGTGTGGTCACCACAACTCCTGAATTCATCTGCCCCCATTAAACTCAAGTGATTTTGCATCAAGGCACTTTCAGCATATACACGGATAGTGTGTCCTGACAGGCCATGAAGTAATAAAAGTGAATAATACAATATACCATTTAACTCATACCTGTACTAAGTAATGAATGGAACAATTCCCCAGCCTGTGGGAAGAAAGGAGTAAACATTTTGCCACTGATCTTTGTTTTCCCTTGATCCTGACACCCACAGAGTCCTACAGAATCCAACCATAGGCAATTCCTCGTTTAATGTTCTTGCTCTGAGCTGTTAATGAAATGTGGTTCCTGTGACCAATGTAAATGGCAAGAGATGTCCGGGCGATAACCAGCCTGATGGTTATCAGATGACACGTGGTTTCTTAGCCTCTGGAGCAAAGTCCATCAGAGCCAAATGATCACGAGAATCTCTCACTGTCATAAAAGGAAAAACAAATAATAACTGTTTGTTGAGATTGGTGTCTAGGTAGATTAAGCTGAAGGCTATTGATCATCACAGCTATTCTAGAGCCAGACAGGAATATGCAACTTGCTTGGCACAAAATGCAACTACAGTATCATACATCTGAACTAGTGCCATGACAAGCATGATGCTATCTTAATCAACACTTTTTGAATGAATGTTTCCGATGATACAACTGGCTAGCAACTGATCACATCCTGTCACCACATCGTACATCCACACAGTTACACTGTCATGCGAAGACACTACAAGTCTGCAGTGATGGCATCTCATCATACCCTAAAGGGGTGTTGCGAGTAAGCCATATGCTACCATTCATAGTTCCTATAATGATCAAGATCTCACCTCTCGCTAACTTCTCTTTCTGCATCTGTAATTCCTTCTCCAACTCTTTGACGGCTCGTGCATCATCCTCCTGTTATCGCAAAAACAGTGGAAGGAGAACAAGTCATCTCAAAAAAGCATCAATAAAAGCAAGAAATAATCACCGACACAAAAAATTATACTTCCGATCTCAGGAATGTAACATTGTCTTTGAAAACAAGTTCAACATAGAGAACTGAAGTGAATCTGTCAAGCACCCAATTATGAGCGTCAAAGGCATTTAGCATGAGAACCAGCACGTGAACCAACACACAAACATATTCCATTCCTATAACTGTACTTTCTAGTTCAAACTTTTGACACACTTTGATATTCTATTGCTCTCTCTTTTTTCAAATTGATTATCTGTTTCTCCGAACTTTTGTCTCGTCAACTTTGATGCATCATAATTGGACAGCATAGAGCAATGTCGTTCACAATGCCAGCCCAAATGACGTGATGACTCAAAAGTCCGGGTCTATGAAAGAAGCTTGGAATGCACAGAATCATGAGAACTAGACAGCAGGCAACAAGCACAAAGTAATGAAATTTTGTGCCAGTGCTAAAGGTCTCGCACAGCAGAATGGTTAAGACTGAAATCAAACTTGACGACCTAGAAGAAAGCCAAACAGAGAGAGGGAGTGTAGATGCTTACAGCAGGGTCGGTCCACAGCGAACACTTGGTACAAACAGTGCAGCCTTGGCCGGGATTGCGAGCGTGACCACAGAAGTGGTTGTAATCAATATCAGGCTTGCGACAGATGTAACACATCTTGGCACCACAGCGACAAGTCATCTGTTGACAGGAATACAAAAAAACACATCTTCCACGATATACTGAAATTTTTCAAGATACTTTTGAAATACAAAATGCAACATGTTATTCCTTACCCTATCCATCTGGGGCTACGATAAGTTTGAAGAAACAAACTCAAGTACAATTGTATTACAAGATAATCAGTGTTAGAAACGTGCAGACAGTTTTAAAGTTTGTTACCTTTGCATGCTTATTCAAGAGTCCAAGAATAAAACTTGCTATGGAAGACATGATGTGACCAAAATCTTGACACCTGCAGTAAAACTGGGACTTTTGAGGGAGGGGGGTTGTGAATTTTGATTTTGCCTTCATCACAGGACTGTGTAGTAAGGCTTGTCTGGGAGCTTTTGAGAGAATATTGACAAGTTTGATTGGATGAGACTTGAACCCAGAACATCTTCTTAAGCTTGCACGGTTAGCTGGTGGTATCACACATGACATACACTTGTAACAAATGTTTATAGATTACAAATTGAATACAGAAATAATAAATGATCCCTATTTTAGTCAAAGAATTCAACTGGGCACCGCACAGTTCTACAAATCAATCTTTCGATGGCGGAGGAATTACAGGGAACAGTCGGAATCACACATCACACAAATTAAACAGTGATTTGTAAAAATATTTGTGATAAATAAAGCAGACTATTACGGTGTGTATATTCATCACAAGTCCTTTATTTATTTCACAGACATGCATAAAAACACAATAATCCTAAAGCTTAAAGCACAGATGCATGGCCCCCACTCATGAATAATATCTTCAAGCAAGAAGGATCGCGTTTGCGCTGTGCTCTGTGCTATCATGTCCAGATTGGACTTAACTAGTCATGGTTATGATGCACTAGCTCTAGGCCCACACGACTCGACTAGTCGACAATACCATCGAGAAAGGAGACAAGGTATTGGTGGTGGCTCGCGACTAGCAAACCGACTAGCCGAGCTCAGTGTACAAATTTGACATGGGCATGGTTCACTGCCAGCATGTGGCTGCTCTGAACAGGTGAGTGCTGTGAACACGTGGTGCGGCGCTGCTCTGCGGGGTCTGGTAGGCACTCCACTCTGTAGTTCTGGGCATGTATGTAGTCGCGGGCGCTGTGGTCTAATGTGCTACGAGTTCCAGCCACTGGTTGTGACACAGTCCGACTAGTTGCCGCATCACTACTAGTCGACTATCTGGAAATTGGTAGTCGTGATCACCAATACCCAGAGGTACTGGGGACTAGTTGACTTGTCACATGGGCCTACTGATGAGACAGACGAATATTGAGTTTCAACCTTTTTACCGATGCAATAAGACTGTGTTTGATATGTCAAGTTGGTTACCTTATTGCAGCCTTGGTCTTTCATTATACCAGCCTTGCATCGGTGGCAAGTGCGGATCTGAGCTTGAGACATCCTCTCCTCACTGGGAAACAAGAATCACAGAAAGCAAATGGGAAATGGACACAGTACGTGGTCTATTGCACACTTGCAAGAGACCACGTTGTGTTTGATGTAGCTTGGCCCACAGGCAGACACTGTCTTGGTTCAAGGTAGAAATGAAAAGACACAGTCCTACTGTGTATTTCTTGAACTGAGACAGTGTTTGCCTGTGGGCCAAGCTACATCGAAGACAACGTGGTCTATTGCAAGCGTGGAAGCATGTGATTCTGCATGTACTGTGTGGAACCATGCAATGTACAGGTACACTGTATGTGTAAGCGGTCTGCCGATGACATCATCGACTCAGCCTGGGAGCACAAACAGCCAAAAGGGGATCTCTGTGGGTGGGGAAACGCAGGATCTTTATATTTTTTGGGGGTCATGATTAATGGGATAAACACTGACTTTACAATGTTTGTAAAATGGTTACGTATTTATTGTTATTTTGAAATACTTCACGTGAACTAAATGTTTTCAATTTCTGTTAACCTTTAAAGGAAAAGACAATCCATGCAAGGCACAGTTTTTTCCCTATATTATGTATGATGTATGAAAGCGTTTATCTTACTAAGATAATCTCATGTTGGTTTCTGATTTCTTCTCAATTTCTTCGCATCGTTTGCCAAAGTGGTCCTTCCAATCTTCTCCACAATGACGACATGTCTCCTACATCGTAAACAAGATAGAATTTAGGGAAAGCAAACCCTCCCATAATTTATTAAGGGTAGCAGCACAGGCAAATAGATACCTACATGTACATGTTTTGCCGAATCAGATCATTTAAATGTAACAGTGACCATTCTGAGATGGCATTAAATTTAATTCAAAATTTGCACAAGTACAAAAACTTAAAAAAGTTTTTAAAACCCTTAAAACCCTCAACATTTCAATGCCAACATTAAGTTAACCTTCCCAGATCCCGCAAAATCCATCAAGTTTGGAAAAATACTGTGGGACTGAGAAAGGTTGAGCCCACCTTGATGCCCTTTGAAGGGTTTTGAAGGATTTTGAAGGGTTCAGAAAGTCCCTAGCCAAGATACACAATGAGATTAAAAAAATAAGAAATTCACTTGTGAGGGCCCATGCACACTCACCTTCATGCAGTCGGTGTTTTGGCAAGAGAATACTTTGTCGCCTGGGTCCAGCACAGCGGCAAAGTCACAGTGAGGGCAGCGAACCAAGCCGTCCATACCAGCCAACTGAATGGATTCTTCCTGGACGCGCTCGTCATACTTAGCCATGTCGTTGGCAGACAGACACTTCTCCAATTGATCTGAGCGAGAATTGACGAGACCCAATAAGAACTGCTGTGACAGGTCACCTAACCAACAATGGTTATACCCATTTCATTTTTTAACATTTAACTTGGAACATTCAAACATTGCCACACCGCTTCTTGAAAAGGATGTGACTCAAAGGAGGCAGTTTTATTACCGATGTTTAAAATTATGAATGTGTCACACCACAACACGGAGACATTTTTTTTTAATAACAGGTTTTACCCTTACACCGACCTAGATTCATAGGTCATGTGTACTCAGTGTTTGTCCAAGAGCTTGCAAAATATTCCCTCGAACCCATGACCTCCTGTTTACTAGTGCGGATGTTAACAACCACTTGACCACTGAGCTTGTCGGGGTCGGTTGGTCGGTCCGAGGTCAGATGTAGCAGCGGGTTCCACAAACAATTTAAAGATGTACTTTGTGTCGGTTTTGATGCACGAACACTGAACATGCAGTATATATCGTCGTATCAGTACTATAAAGTCATTAACAAAATATTCACACTAAACGGTTGTTAATGAAATTTTTTTTAACTTGAAATACAAGCTAAGTCCTGGTGAAGATTTGAGAAACAGTCCCCCCAAATGATTTTTATCAATGAAATAATGTGGACCATTATCTGTTTCTTTATAAAATTCTTTCATGCTTAGAATAGGGCCCTAAAATTATTTTCAAAATCATCAGTGCTATAAGGTCATTACTGCCATAACGACCTTATAGCACTGACACAACGATATGACTTGGGAAGTCCTTGAATGAACCACCAATCAGTGCTTTAGAATGGGATTGGCTGAAATAGAATGGGGATGTAAACAGGAGTCTGGGAGAGAAACTCCTATCCTTAGGATAGAAAGTTTCCAACAGTAATACATGCTTTTCTTGTAATTGGGGAATGAGATTAGGATAAGATGGGGTGAAGGACGCACCTCTCGGGTAGGAGCTATCACATCCATCAGTCATACAGGTAAGATGTGCTTTGCCCTGTCCGTACACAGACTCCTTGGCGTACCTTTGTAGGCAAGAGTCGCAGAAGAGATGGCCATCTAGACACTGGACCATTGTCTCAAAGGTGACCTCGGCGAAACAGCAACCGCACTCAATCAGTTGACCTTCCTGTTAGTGGGAATAAAGCCGAGATGGCTTGGTGGGGGGGGCCTTGTGCTAATATAACCCTAGTTCCAACCCACAAGTGACTCCAAAAACTATTTTCCAGAAAGAGGTAACCTTGTATGGGCCTGGCTTAATTTCTCCACACACGGTTCACACAACCTCCACCTTTTTTGTTCATGGGTGCCACTAGGTATGCAGGGTTAGCACACTGCGATATAAAGCAGGGTTCAAGGACATCCCACCAAGGATGGCCTCAGGATCACTTATGGCCATTATTCAAATCCTCCCAAGATAATATACAACCCAGCAGGATGTTTTAGATTTGGCAGGATTGAGGAACACAGAGCCCACCTTACTAGATAGAGGAATTGATGTGGTTATTCCTTGAAAGTTTGAGGAAAGTGCCACTGGTTTCCTCCAAAGAGTTGGGAAGATTTCGGAAGGTTTATGACCAAATTTCTTTGGTGGTCATTTGAGCGTTTTCACAGCTGGAGAGAGTAATAACTAATTACTTACAGCTTCATATTCATTTTCGTTCAGGCTCAACGCCAACATCAAATCCTTTTCCTGTATCAGAGGGGGTAAAAAGCAAACCAAAACGATTTATTTATGAGACAGAGGTCCAGAACTGATAGTTTTTCACCTGAATAAAGATACATCAGAAAATCAAGTCATTTACCCTGCCAATATATCTAGTGCAACAACGAGTTGAAGCAGTTTGGTATTCCAACAGCACATACCCAAAGTGAGGCGAGACTGAGGTCATTCATGAACAGCAATACCTCTGTGAAAAAGGACAGCCCAATTGGCACAGCTGAAACATGGCAAAACATGCTCAAGCTCCGCTACTTTCTCAACTGACTTTGCCTCTTTGAGAAAAACCTGAACTGGCTCGTTCTTTAGACAAAAAACAATTGTTGCTTTCTCCCATATTGCAAAACGAAAGGAGAGATGACTGATGCTACAATGAAACAAAGACACCAGACCATTCCAGACCCAAAGGACTGCCGTCTAGTATTAAAATGTGCCCTGAATCACGTGGAGCAGGATTGAGTCTGGTGATTCCTAATCTACTTGATTAGGTAACAGAATGATTCAGTAAGTCCCACCCACTGCAGAGGTGGACACGTAACACATGCTCTTCTCCAATGCCAAACAACAGGTCCCAGCCACAAGCATCAATAGTGCATGCACACATGTAGGATTTTTATACACGCATTGGACATAAATCGCACCCGTGATTGGTCAGAAAAAAATGGGGCGGGGCTTAACGGATTGGTCTATAAGCAAACTCTAAATATCAGGCTTTATTGTAATATAAACTCAGCACAGTATACAGGCTCCTCTGTCAATGCTGCACAGAGAGTTGGGTAGCCTGAATGGAATGTATGCAAAGGAGATTCAAACCAATCTCTGCTATTGCGACATTCATCCACAGAACTTGAAGACAGGGTCTATGTCCAAAGAGTGTTTCCCTTTGTGACAGAGCAAGTTTAATTCAATCCAAGATCATGTCTTACCAAGCTACTATTCTTGACATACTCCTGGTAGAATTTCAGCTGTCGTTGCAGGTCGGACGAGGCCTTGATGTTGCCCTGGTAGAATGGATGCCTCAGGCCTTTCAGCAGGTGAATTACCACCTTTGTCGTTTCCTGTTTTCCCTGTAAGTCTGGAGAGCATGGGAAGTCAGGAAGATGGTGAACTCATGTCATCAATTTTGGGGCCAAACTGAACTTTGGTTGGTATACTTCTACATACCACAGCAGAAAGCTGAAAAATGACTTAACCAGCTCTTGACTTGTGTAGAAACAGTACATTGAGGGATCTAGGAGGAGGGTATAAGGGAAACACAGGGAGTATCCCTCACCCCCTCCAAAAAAAAAAACAAACCAGGGAGGGGACTATTTCAGGAGGGTGGAGGGGGAAATAATGGAGAGGAGATTATTTCAGTTCCTTCCCTCCAGAAGTGTCTAAAAAAGCCCCAAAAGGTCACGCAACGAAATTTCAAAATGTCCCCCAAGAAGTTGGCCCCCCAACCCTTGAAATAATAAAAGGAAGTTTAGAACTGCTCCCTTAAGCGTACACTTTTAAGATACACTACTTCCACAATTCCTTCAAAACCGAGCAAAGCACATCTTTTGATGTATCCTGTCCGATGACATTTTGACAAAGTGGGCCAAGCATCTTGTTTCCATTCTATGAAACAAATACACCTACACACCAGCACCAGGTACCTGAGCACCAGACTAAGGCACCATGTCAAAAAGATTTTAATCAGGGAAGCGCCGAGGGTCTGCCCGCCCCAGCTGCCCGACCCTCGGCGCCGCCGACCTAGTGTTTCTGCAAAACAAAGGGTACAGATTTGCACAATGCTTTCACGGATGACTGCATTCTGGGTACTTGTAGGCAGCCGCAGTGCACCGACAGAATCAAAGACACTCATCCTATGCCAGCAATTTTCACTATTAAAGACTTTGGTTTCTGTTGAAAAAAAAGCATCTTTGAATTCTGTCCAACAGGCGAAACAAAATCGTGGAGTTGTCACAATAGTCCACTTACAACAAGGCTTTTTGGCTTAACAGAAGGCCCACTCTCCAAACATTTTTCTGTTGCTGTGTATAAATGGATGCCCGCCACCTGGCATCTGTGTACCACCTTTAAACTGCCCTATCAAACCACAGTCATCAACTGCCCTCCTCCACGCTCAACTGTCAACAAACCAATCGCCGAGATGTAAACAAGAAACCAGAAACCAATCGATATATAAGCTCTACATATTCTTAGTTGTCATTGGTTATAAAAGTTGAAAGCCCACTATCCCTACCATCAGCTAATTAAGACAATGTCAGTCATTGGTCGGAAACAGCCTACAACCACTCAACCAAATCACTCTTTAAACAAAAAAAAGAAAGGTTTGCAAGGATTTTCAGTGGGGAATAAGTTTTAAGATAACGACCAGGGCTAAATGAATGCTAAAACATATGTCAAGTCTATGTCCAAAGGTTGTTGATGAGTGATGCAGGTACCATAGAATTGGCAACTTGAACCCTTATTTACAACTGCTTTTTCTTTTTTTCCTTTAAATTTTGGGATTAGGTGCCTTTTAGGGACACATAGATGTAGGCATTTTCACTTAAACAAGGGCATCTGGGTCCAGATTTATCAGAAAAATGCATAGCATTTTTTCAGACTCACTTTTTGTGGTGATCTTAACCTGGATTTTCCGCTCTTGATGTGACAGGGTCTTGACTTGTGGTAAGAGCTTCTGGATTCTCTCATTGGAGCGCAAGATTTCCTCCAGGCAAACTCTGGTAGGAGCATAGTTGAAAAAGTGTAGCGACCACACCATCCTGATAGTGTCGACTGAGAGCTGTGGGAAGGGACAAAATGTAAAAAGACTTTGTCAATAAATAAGACTTGAAGCTATGCATGGCGAAAGTACTAACTATGTGAAGTTTGCGGTGACACCATGTAAACAAATTCTCTCTTTGAGTGTGTGTGGTTCTCTCAAAGAGAGAATTTGTTTACATGGTGTCACCGCAAACTTCACATAGTTAGACTTTGTCAATGTTTTACAAGAAAATTTCAACTTGGAACTACAGTGAAAAAGGGTGGGTTTGAAATGTTACAAAGAAACGACTGCAGTTTTCGATTAAGGGTTTGTCCAGGAATCTAAGGTTTAATGATGGACCGAGCGCTTACCATTCGGAAGTCATTCTGCAACTGTATCATGATATCTTCAGCATAACGTCTTGATGCAGGCATCTTGTAGTAGTCTTTAATATAGTCAACTTTCTCTTCCTGTCATAAATATAGCAAATCACAAACAGATCAAAGGGACAAATTTATGGCCCCCCGACCGAAAACTACAGCATTCTGGGTGGAAACATTTACAGACTGATTGAGGTTATGTACTTTCTTTCAAGTAAGATATTTCAGGATTAAACAGTAGTCCGATTTGGGGGATTTTACCAATGGTGTCCACCACCATAAAAATATCACCTAACCCTAAATTTCAATTATTTTTGTTGTTTGATTGCTGTTTCATTCGGATATTTGGCGATAAAAAGTGTGCTGAAGGTCACTGCAAAATACCAACAAATGCAACACCGGCCTTTCCTCTTTCTGGTTCTTGAACTAACCAGTAAGTCACAGCCCCAACTACATGTACAATGGCAGCCAGTACAGTAACGGAAGGACTTGAAAGGGTAAAGAATTTTACAAGGACTACTCACCTCTACTTTAGTCTTGACTGACTTGGATGTGGAGGGGGCTTCTTGCTTTTTAGCTCGCGGGTAGCTGGGGTTCTCAAGGAGGTGGTTACAGACTACATTGACAGGAGATGGATAATCCTTCATGGCTTGCAGCTGGGTCAATATGTAGCTTGGATCAACCTCCGGGAACAACATCAACTACATGGCACATAACATCAAGACAGTAATGTAACATGCACTCAAAATCAGTTCAAGAGGTATGGTAAACACAGCGCTGCAGTTGAGCCCATCACAAGTCCTTTTACGAGACCAATCACAAGTGATGAGGTGACGACAAAGGAAATTTGTCTGTTCATTTGAATGAAACTTGAATTTCATCTGAAGGTTTTGTGATGGTTTTAAGAGCTCTTGACTACGATACTAAGTACTCAGGGACACAATGACAAAGAAATGCTTTTGTTGTTGTTCATTTGAATACTAGTAGCTTGTGACTTGGTTTAAGACTGAATGATTCATGACAGACTTGCTGGGACTTGTGGTAGACCCAGCTACCACACTGGGTATTAACCCTAACCGGCAAGCATATTGTTTGGCTTACACTACACAGTACTACAAAATACTAAGTAACAGCCAGAGCCTGAAGGACCTAGTACTACAAATTACTACTTCTGGCCAGGTTACTTCCATTGTTACTTGTACAGAGAACAATAAAGCCATGCATTCATAGATCCAAAGCACTGTATGATACATTGTCTTATCTTTTGTATTGTATGACTTATGAGAACAATAAAGTCATGTCCTCTTACAAGCGACAGCACTGATTACTACATTTTACTACAAGTAATAATTTGTAATTTTATGTAGGGTTAAGGTTAAGCAACCTCAGAATTTAGCCAGGAAGATTAGAATTTGGATTCATGAACTAATCTTACTAGACCCTCCCTTACCCTGACACATTTGCTCGGAAGTTTCTGGAATCTACCATAAACCGGCACTGTTCACCTACGCTACACCAACAAAGCTAGAATTCAGGTTTTCAAGGCTTTTTTCAAAATAATGGCTTGACTACACGGTGCCACTTCTACATATGTACTACAAGTACAATACTCAAATATAGATTCTTATAAAACCTTGGGTAGAGTCAAAAAATGTTTTAACTCTTCAAGGGAGTTCAGGACCACCTAAGAGTCTAAACTGGCATAAAGTCAGTCTGATTTTTGCACTGTGACCACACAAAATACAGCTGGAGAACTCCTTATACGACCCTTTTGATGATTAACCGTTAAAATCCTCAATTCTCCACCTATTGGAGACTTGAGGACTGTCAGATTGATACTTTAGGTGGAGAAGCAAATTTGATTTTATCCAATGTTAGCAGGACAGTTTATTTATTAAAGACGGCCACACCTACCACTTCTGATTTCATCTCTTCTATGGTTCTATCATTTCCAGGTCTGTTTTTCTGTTCTGGCAAGACCTCATGAGGTTGGTGAATAACTACTGGTGGCTGAAGAGGTACCGGTGTCACTGGTTGCGTTTCTGGTTGTGGCTCAGGATTTGGTATGGAGGGTAGGGTTTGTATCTGTGTGGCTGGGTAGGTCGGCTGAATTTGAGGTTGATGCGTTGCTGCTGGCGGCATAGGGTATGTCACTGTCTGTATCATGGGTTGTGACTTGGGTACTGGCACAAAGGGTGGTGGGTTCTGGGGTTCTGATACGATTGCCTGGGGGAGGAAGGGGAGAGGATGTGGATATCTTACAGCCTGTGGCTGAGGCTTTGTTGCATTGGGTGGGGGGATGCTTCCAAACGTAACATGCGGTGGACGTTGAGTCTGGGGTTGCCAGAAAGTTGCCGGCGGCAAAGGATCTGTCACTTGGTGTAGCGCTGGTTGTGGTTGTGGGTTTGGCACAAACGGTGGTGGGACATGTCCTTGCATACACTGGTTGGAGACCTTTGGCTGGGAGGTAGGCACAGGAGTAAAGGGAGTAGTCTTCACAGTAGTCTGTTGATGAATTGCATCTGGATCGGTAGTCTCAACTTGGGATGATTGTGTAGGCTTTCTAGTTGATACTGATGTGTATGTCATGTGTCTTGTGGATCCCTGTGATGGTGCAGAGGCTGAGAGCGGAGGCTTGGAAGCATTTGTCTGATTTGTTGTTCCAGAGATGGTCTTCTTCTGGCAGCTCTGATCAAATGACTGATGTGTTGAGGGACTTTGGGAAGGCACAAGCTTCTGAGAGCCCAATCCTGACAATCTGTGATATGAACTTGATGCCTGTCCCTGATCAACTTGCTTGACAGCTGCTTGTGTTTTGGATTTTGGTAGCGATTCCAATGAAGGAGATCGATGAATGGTTCTCGATGCCCCAAGTGCTGGCTGAGTAGAGGAACTTAAATTGGAACCAGTTGCTTCAGCTGGTTGCGTTAACGTGCCAAACGGGATGGTATGACTGGTGGACGTCAAAGAAGTTGCTGGCTGCATTGAATTTGCCGGTTTCTTGTAGAGCCTCTGGGTGTAGGTCTGGCTGCAGTTGGTAGCAGCGTACAGGCTGCCATGGTGACTATGCACACTGGTTGCAGAGGTGGAGGGTTGAAGAGTTGTCCTGGGAGTTGTCTGCAGACCCACATTGCTGACAGGCACTGCAGAACCTCTGTGACGATCGGAGTTGCTTTGTTGGCATTTGGCAGCAGCTGACGATGAGAAAATTGGCGTAGACGATGGTCTTGAGACGCAAGAGGTGCCAGCTCCAGGCTTGGAAGGGGTGGAAGATCTGCCTTGAGCCCTTGACAGCAGGGAGCTGAAAAACTCCTCTAATGTTCCACTGATTACAAAGAAAAATTTTATATGCGTTAAGAAATCAATCTATCAGCTTACAATCTCTAATTGTGTTCAAATGGTAAGAATATACCCATTTGAGAAGCTTCACAGGAACAGTAAATTTGATCGAGGATCTGTAAGGTTTTTTTGAATGTATATTGATTTAAAATGTGACTTTGAAGCAATCAATTATAACTCCCTGGCCAAAGGTGCCAAAGGACAACAAACATTGTACAGTAAGCCTTGCTGAAGCTGGCTATCATCAGCTAACATGAGCCAAAGGCCATTGCAAGGGGCTTGTTGAATGAACCTTCAGCACCTTACTCAAGTTTGTTCGTGTGGCTTCATGCAAACAATACCAATGGCTAACCAATACTTCTTTCAGTTGCCTAATCTACCGTGATTAGATTGCTAATGAGTATCTCCTTGCTAAGGCTGTACTAGATGTCACTTTGATTTGAAGAGGCTACCTGTGGCATCTACTTGTACATTAAAACAAGGACAGTTTACAAGTACACACCTTGAGGGTGGGTTCTTTTTTGTGGCAGTGTCTTTTCTGACTTCATCTTGCACTGCGCTCCCTGTGGTCAATGTTCCTAAGCTCTGCCTCCTCTCTTTGGCTTCTAAGACACCAGGATTCATTGCTGGAGATTCACTGATGGCTGGGCACCTTTCTTCAGTCCTTGAACTCGTGGAGGCTTGAACAGTGCTGTGTTTTGTGGCCGTGCTCGGATTTCCAGTGACCGAGTTGGATTGGCTGCTAGTGCTCTGGGAGTCTTTGTGTCCCAAAGTTTGATTAGAGGATGAGGTTGATGTTGAAGGAGCAGGTTCCTCCAAGGGGTTCACCCATTCCTCTAACGGTCCCCTGATTAAATAAGAAATCAGTCCTTTCACTGACCATTTTTAATGACGCTCAGCAAGGAGAAAATGATGAGTGTAAACAGTTGAACCACAGTCCTCTAGAACTCTAGCCCAACGTGAGATGTGCTTCTCTTGGGCATAATGTGATGCTGATATATAAAGTAATACCATCTTAGCATTGGGACTAAAATTAGAATTTTGAGTTTAAAAAGTCTGGCCCTGACCTTAACAATAGACCGTTATACAAGTTCTCGTAAAAACTGCAGCGGGCTGGTTAATGCATAATTTCTTTGACTTGCCAGGTGGGCTAGTAAAGAAACACCTATATGTTTGAAACCGACATTTGTCTTATTTGCAAAGATGAATACAACAAAGATTACAAAGTATTTTGAATTTTGATTGAATTGTTTATTTTTAATTGCAACAGTTTTGAATTCCTTCACTTTTAAGTTTTAAACTTGACAGCATCACTCCACAGTAAGAGTTACAATAATAAAGTTGAAAAAGACAAAAGTTATTTTTGTTAAACAATGTCCAGTGGGCTGGTGAAAATTCCTATGGGATAGCCAAAGTTAACTTGCCTGGTGGGCTTGTGGAAAAGAGATTAAGGTCACGACTTGAAAGTTGCCATCAAGATTTAACCTACCAGTACAAGTATGGGTGCTCCATTAACATTGTGAAATATTTCACCTTACACCACAATATTGTGTTGAAAGTTGTCCAGTAATGTCTAAAACTGCTTCCATACAAATGAAGCTCTCCGTTGCTTAGGAATGCACCAGACTTGAACTCAACTTTCACGGATGTTCTTAAATACATGTACACAAGTGGCCTAGCGGAGCCACAATAAACAGCTTGATATGTCGCATAAACAGAGTAAACCTTACGGAAGCTGGCCATTGCAAACATCTTGCTCAAGTTTGTTCATGTGGCTTCACTAAAATGATACCAATGGCTAACCAAAACAAGTTGCAATTGCATTAGGTACCATAATTGGATTGTTTATGAGTGCCGCCTTGATGACGCTGTGCTAGATGTCATGATTGCTTGAGGAGGCTAGGTGTGGCATGTACTTGTGCATTAAAAACAAGTCAAGGCAAGACTGCTACTAGTAAGCATACACTTACCGTGACGGTGGAAAAATATCGGAGCTGTGCTGAGTCTCTGGTGTTGGAAGAGTTTGACAATCGAGACAAGGACACCTTGACATTGTAGAAGGCGCCTGGGAAGGTTTCTGATGATGGTGGCTGACTGCTGTTCCATTATCACTGCTGTGGATGTCACTGGTCTCATTCTGGACTTTGTACAGTCCAGACGCTTGATCAAGCTTGATTTTAACCTTTAGAGGAGATCCCTGCTTGGAGGCTGTTCCAAAAGATGCTACTGTGCCATTCATAGAGACACTGGAGTTAACGGGAGTGGCCTCGGATGGAACAGTTAGGGAATCTGACCTCCCCTCCAAAACTGCTTGCCCCCTTGGACTTTCTGGCTTAGCACTGGATTGAAGCAACTGGACGTCTATGTGAGACACTTGAATCACTTCAGGCTTTGACTTCAAACCGATGCCTTTGTCACTCGCCAACTGGCTACTGTCGCTGCAATTCAAGTTGGGTGATGGTGCATCTCTAATGTTGTGATCAACTTCCACATCTTCCTTGGCCTGGTAAGGCTCCTTAATGGGTGTGTCTATTTCAAGACAATCAGGAGTCACATCAAGATTGATGACTACTTCAGTGTTGGCAGTTGTACTGTGAACAAACGAATCTGAAAGAAAAATCACAAATGGAAAAACAAAAAGGTGTACATATGTCAGGGTTCCTGCACCTAAAGGACAATTACACGTAAGTTCCATGACTTTTCCATGACTTAATTATGGGAATCCATGACCCAATAGTGCAATTTTCTTGACTTTTTGGACTTTAGAAGTTGTGAATAAAACCACACATTTTATGTACTTATTATTGCTAACAGAAATTACACATAATGTTTGAAAAATCCCACAACTTTAGTCATTTTTTCAAAGTTCCATGACTTTTCCAGGCCAGGAACAAGCAAAAATTTCAATGACTTTTCCAGGCTAAGGGAACCCTGATATGTACATGTAGCATTTGAAGCTATGACCCATGCACAAAAGCAGAGAATCTTGGCTGATATCTACATGTGTAAAATCACAAGTTTGGCTGTCTCAGTTTATGTAGGATTGCAATACCTACTGTCCCTTCCTGGCAAAGATTTTACACCAAAAAAATTCTGAAAATACATTTCTCCAGTACTCACTATTTGGAGGGGAAATTTTAAGATTTATTCACAAATGTTAAAGATATATGTAAAAATGAGGGATTTGTAAAAACTACATGTACCTATCCGAACTGTTCTTGCCTGTACTCGGGGCAGGTGGACAGAGGGCTGAATGTGAAGTAAATGAATGTTAAATCTAGGCATTGACTAAACATGAACATGAGCATAAAAAGTAAGGGTGCCTGGGTTGGTAATGATAAATCTTTACTGATTGTAGTAGGCCTACTAAAATCTTGAATCAGGTATTATGGAAGTTGGGCTTAAGTGAAACTATTAGAGTAGATTTTATAGGACAAACCATCTGTAAGATCAATATAGTCCCTGAAAACTCTCTGTTCATTTCTGGTGCTGCCTTCGGCTGTCATTAGACACAGCAAATCATCAATGCAGCTGTTTGTGAGTCTATTCTGGTCCAGCGGATCAGCCAGGAGTCTGCTCTGGCGAACCACGCTCTCTCGGATAGTGTTCTCCAAGAGATGTGGGAACATTGGCTTCAGCTGAGCCACAACATCATTGTGAAGGACTTGCGCAGCTGATTTGATGACAGGATAGCTAGGGTGAAGATCAAAATATACATGTAGTTACACATACATGTACATGTGTACAAATGTACGTACGCAGGTGTATCACAGCAAACTCCTCCTGAACATCTCCTTATTAATAAATGTACATGTGTGTGGCATCGTGCAGGGGTGAGATAGGAAGAAAATAGCCACAAAATAATCACCGGTACCAGAGGTTAAGGCCTATCAGCAGCGTAAGGCCTATCAACGTACAGGATGACAAGTGACCATCTGCTTTTCTGCTACCAGAATGATAGAAAAGGAGGTTTTATTTCTTTGTGTTGCAATTTTGGACTTTTCTACTTTTCTTTTACCTGCAGAGCAGAACAAACATTTAATGTAATGTAATGTATTTTTCTTTTTTACTTTTCTGCTATCAGAAAAGCAGACTTTAATTTTCCTTAGTGCTGCAAATAGGTACCAAGGTTCGGTTCGGGTTTTGAACTTGAACCAAACTTGAGCACGCTACAAACGTATATGCTGTATACAGTACTTCCGTGTGTATGTTTAATACAAGCAATGAATCTCATCTCCATCCCATCCACGAGTAACTTCGATGTGACCATATTTTTTTCCCAAACTGTTTCCCCAAAGTTTGTTTAGGAGTTGAAATTCTCAAGAAAGTTACCGTCTGGGTGACAGTTTCCGACCGTGTTTTACAGACCAAAAGCGGTTGTTTGGACAACGCTTGACACAACAAAACGATCGTAGGATATGTGAAAACCCAGCACGCTCAAATGGGAGTCTCCTCCTTTAAAGGATACAAGATAAAATCAGATTTCCAATGAATCGCTTTTTGTTCGGTTCGCAGTTTGAAAGTGCCATGTTCGATGATTTTTAGTTCGTTTCGGCGGTTCGGCTGCAGCACGACTTTTCCTCTGTTCACTAATGGCTGAAAAGTGGCCATCGGCTGATTGCCTGTCAAAAATGTAGAAAATGAACATGTAGTTATACATGTACTTTGCTGCTTTCAGGATACTGGGAAAGCAGATTTTACAAAGGCCACTGGAAAGTGCTTTTCTCCTTTACGGAAGGCAGAAAATTGGATCGAACAGTTTGACAACTGTTAGTTATACATGTACTTTGCTGCTTTGGGGATATTGGAAAAGCAGATTTTATTATAAAGGTGACCAGAAAGTAGCCACCTGCTTTTCTCCTTTTGGGGAGGCCGAA